ATTTCGAGCAGAATAGGAGAAAAAGAATGAATTTTTGTCGCTTATTGAGTGTTTATAAGTCATTCATATGTAAATTATAGGAAGAGGGGAAGAACATACAGAGCTTCTTAGAAATTTTATAAAGATCAGAGCGAAAGCAATTTTTAAAAAATTCAAAGGTGATCCTGCGTCTGTTTACAGCCGCAAACTGTCTTTGCTATCATTTCCTTTGAACTAGAAACGTGTTTTATGTTGGAGGACGTGCTCAAGTCTTTAGATGTCGATAGTTTACAATGATACGCTGGTGGCATCGCTGTCTATCTATCTTTTGTTTTTCAGCTGTGCTCATAAACTTATTTTGTCTTTGCTAGCCTTTCTGTAGCATCTTTCTACTAATGTCAACTCTGTGTGACCAACTCTTTTTGAACGACCGGTGGATCGAACATGCTATTAGAGCATGTTTGCTTGGCCTACTATTTCTATTATCTCCTATCTCGGAAAAGCGAAGGTGTGTTAACTATGGAGAATTTACGTCCCAATTCTTCAGCGTCTCTTACATCACTTCATCTTTCTTTTAATTTGGTTGAATGATGCGCTATCGATTTCTCTTCTCTCTGCAATTTTTATTTTCCCTTTCTTCTTCATTGGTATAGTTAATCAAACCGTAGCCAGTACAGTTGATAACTTACTTCTCACTCTTTGTTTAGTGAATAAAGCCACGGTCTCTATATTTGAATTTGCTAGGTCACTAAAGCTAAATTTTAAAATCTGTGACGTCATTTGATCTTCATATTAAACCAAATTGCTGTTGCCTTATCTGCTGGGAATCGTGATCTCATTTATGAAACTTAGGTGAACCTATTTTTGGAGAAAAAAAGTTTACCAAGCAGTAAATTCCATGAGTCATACAAGAGTGATGGATTTAGTGATGGTTTACTTTGAAACTGTTTGACACATTGCCTGAATTTACCTTGCATCCTCTATTCTTACGTACATTTATAATCACTTATCCATAGAGGCCTCGCACATACTGAGCTAATTAGCGCATCGAAAATGTATGACAATTTTTTTTTGTAAAGACACCATAATTATACCGTGCTTAGCGAAATTCTCAGGATCTGCTGAGAAGCTGCAGTGTTAGTTTAGTTCGCACCCAATAAAGCATTCCATTTGATTTAGCAATCTCTTCTTGTCAGTTTATATACGCTAAGAATCTTCTCCACCGTGCCTA